AAAGGTGTGACTCGCTCTGTGTCTGGTTCTGTGACAGGCAGCTGCCAGTCCCTCGCCTGTGTTGTGCATCACCCTTCCAGGCTGGGCCATGAATAAACAACCAAGCAAGGAGAGTCTCAAGGACAAGGTGAAGGGGATCTTTGGGCTCGGTACACAGCGTCCTCCGAACAAACAGAGCGACACTAAACCCTCCGAGTTTATCATTACGGCTGACATCATCAAGGTCTGCAGAAGCGACTGAGTGTCTGTGCATGTCTCTCATTCCTTTCCCAGCACATCTTTCACTGTTTAATGTATTTTTTGCTTTGGTGTGTTTCAGGAGCTCCACCCAGATTGTGGTCTGAGCAACCGTGTTCGCACTATGAACCACATCTGTGAGCTTGCCAAAATGAAAAAGTTTGAGGAGGTGAGTCTGCTGGCGGCGGTCCATTTTTGTTGTTGTTTGGTGAACAGTACGCAGTCTTCTTTATTTGTTAAAATCTGAGTGTATATGTTGTTCAGCATGCAGTGGAAGCTGTATGGAAAAATGTGGAAGACATGCTGACTCCAGAGCAGCCACCAGAGGCCAGACATGCTGTCCTGCAGCTGCTCAGGGCCATTATACAGGGGCAGGTATAAAAGCACAACATACACGCAGACAAATGCAAAAAGCTTCTGTATGTTTTTTGTTTTTAAAAAAAAGTCTTGCCCACTGTTTGTGTGAAGGGTGAGCGACTTGGCCCTCTGAGAGCATACTTTTTCAAGGTAATCAGAGACTACCAGCCGTGCAATGAAGACCTTTCTGACAGACTGGAGGTGTTTAAGGCTTTAACAGAGAATGGAAAGGATATCACATACCTGGAAGAGGACATAGGTAAAAACAGACTAATCCTCTTTCTTTATCAGTTGCAATATTTGTGTTTGTGCATTTAAAAAAAAAAAAAATCTTCAGCTTTCAAGTAACCACTATTAATCACTGATAAATTTCTGGCTGTGTCACACCTCAGCTGATTAGGTTCAACTCGTGTTCACTGTTCCCTTTTTGTGCATTGACTCTATTGATATTATGTAATACAACAGTTTGCTTTCTTTTTTTTAATCACTTGTTTTTCATTTCGGGTACAATGATGACAATGGGTTTTTTGAATTCTAATAATAGCTCTTTTTTCCACACACAATACCCTCAACTGTTTCTTTCAGGACTTTTTTTTTTCCAAAGGTGGTAGAGAAACCTTCCATAGGACAAATAAACACATCCAAGATAGTTTGATCCCAGTATTATCTGAGAAATGTGACCTCATATATTCAGCCTTATTTGAGCTACATTTTTAATAGTATTTTTAACTGTTGTGTTCATAGAAATACTGTGAATAGTTTTATTTGCCATAGTGTATTGACCTGCATTAATACTTTTCACATGCATTTTTTCCTCTCTCAGCACGCTTTGTCCTCCTGTGGATGGATATAGGCCTTACATCTGACTTTCTCCATGTTCTTGTTAATCTGGTGAAATTCAACAGCTGCTACTTGGACCAAAATGTTTCCATCATGGTCCAGTGAGTCAGAGAAATCCACACACACACACACAATGATTCTCTCTTACTCAGCAATTGTTCTCAGTGTCTCTTTTTCCTTCTCGTTCTTCTGTGCTCTCTGCAGGAAAATTTGCCTGCTGTGCAACAGAACGACGTCTTCAACTGATATTGAGGTTGGTATTTCAATTTACTTTACAGTTAAAGGCTTTTTACACACTGGACGGCAAAAATTTGTGCAAACATTTTGCATGTTAAAAATATTTTGGGGACTTTTTTTTTCCAGTTGCAAATAAACGCATCTGACCGCTTAAACCACTGCATTTGGCAAGATAGACACTTGTAGCATGGAAATGGTGAAAGAGTACTGTTTTACCTAAGAGACACAGTTTGATGCTACTCAAGATCAATTGGCTCCTGAAAGTATTTCTCTGCCTCCTCAGACGTGTTTCCAAGTGTGCCAACAAAAGCTCAAACTGCCCCACTGACATCCTGAAATATGTAGAAAAGCGGTCGTGATACTGTTTTAATCTCTGGAGCAAAACATTCAAATTTTCCTGTTGCTGCTCAGTTTCTTCTTTTTCTGGTTTAGAAACATTAGGATCAACATTGATGCCATTTTCACTTTATTTACTTTTTCATCAGTCTTTTGTTTTTTTGTTTTTTTGGGGGGGTTTCTTGCAGTTTGAGGAGGAATTTTTCACAAAAAACACAAAAACTTTGCAACATTTTTTTTTTCCCAGCACCCTCAGTGTGTAATGGCCTTTGCACGGCATGTTTATGATTCCTCTTCAAAAGAAGGTGCAGTTTTTGTTTAGTAAATACATAACAGGCCCTTCACGAACCTGCAGGTTTAAGAAAAATTATTGAATAACTGTCCAGTGTCCATATATTTATTATATGTGAAAACTCTGCACGCCAAAGCTAGAGATGGTTTTAATCTGATGTATTAAAGTAAATGTTTTTGAGTAAATCACAATCATTAGCTTCAGTTAAACCTACCATTTAGACAAACCCTACCATATTTTTTGATTTGTGAACCTCAGACTGTTTTGTAGTGCTGGTGGTCACCAGTATTTCCAACCTTTGTATTTTTCCAGGTGGCTCTGCAAGTGCTCGATGCAGTTGTGTGTTACAACTGCCTGCCCTCCGACTCTTTAACCGTTTTCATAATCACACTCTGCCGTACAGTCAACGTCAAAGAGTTTTGCGAGTCCTGTTGGAAGGTGAGGCAAGAACACACCTGCATATATACAATTCTGCATCTTGTTTGAAGTCTATGATTTGAAGGGACATAATTCATAACTGTGTCCTCCTCTGTGTCGTTTGTTGTCCCTACACTTTGTTTTGCTCTCTGGTTCTTCAGTTAA